AAAACCACTGAAAGAACACATAGAAATATATAAAAAATATCAAATATTTTTACTATAGTTCTGAAATGGTTTTAAATCCTGTTGTAACGCAGCCTATATTGTTTGGATAATGACAGGCATTCTTTATCAAACTTGTGCCGTAAATCTATATGGCATTACCTGCAGACTTTAACTCCAATGACCTCTTTTGCCTAAGATCTAAGCATGAATACGCAAGGGGAGTCCTGAAGCCCTCCACAAGAAATTTAATTAGAGCAGACACATTCAAACAATTTATGCAGCAGGAACTCAGGAAAACTGAGATCCTGTGAAACGACTGCAGGCAGGTTTCTCCCCCCTACAGCATGTACCATTCAAATCTCAGCACTGCCAGTCCCTTGGCATGCACAGACACGGGTGGGGGCACGGTCCGTGGTCACCCTGCTCCGCTGCAGCATCACACCTCCTGCCACCGTCAGGCACTAAATCAACCTTCCTCCATGGCCCCAATCCATGGGCCCAGGTAGCTGCCTGCTCACACAACCCAAGGCACACAGCACACCCCCCAGGGCTCCTGCAACAGCACGAGTGATGGCCTGAGGCAGAGAAGGAGGGTAGTAAGGGACAGAAGAGGCTGCCCACTTACAGGAGAAAGAATCTGTATGAGAAATGACTAAACATATGCATGGACACGTGTGTAGGAGTAAAAGGCTCAGGCTTTCCTCACAGCATAAACAGTGTATTTAATCAGCAAAACTCTCACTGACCTACAGCATCTCTCTGTGGGTCATACTGCTTTGATTGCAAGTATTCAAGGAATAACAAGCTCCAGAAATTGCTTGAGTCAACAAAAGCATCTTCCCATTTGCCAGGATGGGACTGTGGGGCAAATACACTGTTTGCTCACAGCTTTCTCATTTCCAGCCCAGTAGCAGAGCAGCCACAGCCACTGCTGTGCTGGGCACCAGGGAAAACATGACTCCCTGTTTCTTTTAACACACAGATGTTCCAGCCAGGATCTCTGCCGATGTCAGCCTGAACATGAGCCCTGATGGCTGCAAACATCAGCTCCTACAGCAAAGATGGCTGATTTTGTTATGATGCTAAAAAGCATCATCTCAGAAGAAACTGGGGTCTAACTACCCCATGAGCTAGTTAAGAACTAGTTCTGCAGTCAGGACAAAATACTGATTTAACTCTTCCACTGTGAGTAAATCCTGGACAATGAAACAAGAGAGATCTCCACATGATCTTTTATCCACCAAAGTGCTGTCCAAAGTATATGGGACACTTCTGATCCATGAAGTTTTTCTGAGCTGCATCACAGTTCAGTCTGTACTGTATGCCCCATGCTTAAATATGCTCTAAAACATTTACCTTACAATCACCTGCAGTTTTTAAGTTTCATATTAGCTTTCTGTGGTTAGCAGTCCTTTCTAGCCATGTCCAAAACAACCTGCCCAACTGCCTTTATTTTTGAGAGCTAGTTAATTCAGACATGCATCCAGACTTTAAAACACAGCAGAAACCCTACAGCTTCAGCAACTGTTCTGCAATTTGTTGTTACACAGGTAGGCTGCTGTGGCTGCAGCACTGAAGCTCCAGATCACAATTCCTGCTGAATCAGCCTATATCTCCAGAAAAATAAGCTCAGTCCAACTCAACCATAGGTGCACATAATCCCTGCTGGCCAACAAAGCCCAGCCTCCCGGCCTCTCTGGAAAGCTGGCTCTGAATGAGCATTTAGAAGCTGGCAGTTCTCCTTGTGTCACGCTCCTGGCCCAGGTCTTTTTTCCATCCTGCCCTTTTTATTCTCCCATTGCCCTTGCAATGACCTGACGCACTCCCTTTGTGCTCGGCTGCTGAGCCAGTGGGATCTGCTCACTTGGCGCCGCTAATTAAGTTCAACAACAACATTTTTTTTCAGCAGTTCTGTCCCAACACATTTAGTTGGGATTTTAAATTCTTTAGATTTCATTCAGCCCATGTGCATGGCGGTGTCACAAGGCTCTCGGCCCAGCTCAGCTGGTCCTGGCCCTGGAAGGGCTCCAGCACCCTTGACACAGTGCACATAAGCTTGGCGTCAGGCAGGAGAGGATGGTCCGAACAAAACAGTCACCCAAATAAGGAGCTACCATCACTCCCTGTTTCTTTTAAGACACAGATGTTCCAGCCAGGATCCCTGCTGATATCAGCCTGAACATGAGCCCTGATGGCTACAAACATCAGCTCCTACAGCAAAGATGGCTGATTTTGTTATGATGCTAAAAAGCAACATCTCAAAAGAAACATGAACTAGTTAAGAACTGGTTCTGCAGTCAGGACAAAATACTGATTTAACTCTTCCACGTCTGTGAGTAAATCCTGGACAATGAAACAAGAGAGATCCACATGATCTTTTATCCACCAAAGTGCTGTCCAAAGTATATGGGACACTTCTGATCCATGAAGTTTTTCTGAGCTGCATCACGGTTCTGTCTGTACTGCATGCTCCATGCTTAAATATGCTCTAAAACAGGCCAGTCATTTATCTTGCAATCACCTGCAGTTTTTAAGTTTCATATTGGCTTTTTATTTTTTTCTTTTTGCTCCTCTTATCTGCTCCTGTCCCTTCAAGGAATATCAACAAACAGCCTGATGGAAAATAAATAGAAAACATGGTACAAGAGTACGTTCCAGGATACAGAAAGAAAATGTTGCAGTCAAGTCCAAAGAAAAACATGTGAACAATGGAGGTGCTATCCTAAATATATGAGTGAGGAGCTTAAAACCAAATGCAGGGCAAAGCAGGATTTCAACAACAGGATTCAAGGCTGAGTTAAGAATATTAGAGAACTAGCTTGACAGCAGCACCTAAAATCAGCAGAAGGGAAGTGTATGAAGGAGGGAGATGAAAAGACAGCACTCATCAGTGGAAGATGGACTGCTTACCTTCTTAGATAAATGTGAACAGAAAGCTGTGCTACTCATTAAGTTCTACCACATCATTTTTTAAACAATGCACTGCCTTTTGAGCTCTTCAGATCTTCATGCAACATGTGGCAGAGCCAAGACATCTTTTGCTAGACAAAGACTGGCAAAACTTCTCTGCTATATGATCCACAGGACAGATATTTGCAATCCCAGAGAACCCTATCTACTAAACCTTTTAGGCATACGAAGGGGTCTTTCATTTTATTGTTTATCTGGAACTCAGCACAATTCCAAGGATGGGTTCCGACCCAGTCCTAGACACAGGACCATCTCCCTGCTTTTCTACCAGCTTTGACAAAATTAAGCCGACTTGTTCTTTAGTTTTGCAATTATATGAATTTAGCTTAAGAAGAGAGAGGTTTTGGAATAAACAGTGTTTAATAAAAAACACATTCCCTGGCAAATTTGATAGGATCACCAACAAAAGCAGGGATCTGAAAAACACTAAAAACATAAGAATTTTCAGGAAAGGATATTGCCAAGGTAACAAGCTAGTCCAAATGCAAAATTCTATGGGAATTAGGCTGTAAGATGCAACAACACATACAGCGGAGTCTGAACTTTGTATTTCTTCCTGACCAGCTCCTGTCAACACCAAATCTGATTTCTGAACTAACCACACCCTTATAGATCACTTCTAACAAAATTGACTACCCTTTCCTCCTACATAACAAGCAAATGATGTTTGCTTAAAGATGTGAGTCCTTGAGGAGTATGTATAAGCATCACCTGCAGGGAATAAAGGACCCGTGGCACCTACTGAGGTAGGCTGTGAACTTTCTGCAGTGGTATTTCCCAGGGTACATTCCAAGAAGTATCAGCAGTCTTTGTCCTTATCCCTGTGTTCCCTTCAGCACTCATTGCTGGCCACTTGCAGAGCTTGGATATTGACCCCCATGGGTCTTTGCTCTTTGCCAGTATGCTCAGAGCAAAGGTCTTTAACAACAGAGACCATCTGGGAGGAAAGAAAGCTACATCACTGCCCTGTGATCCAGAGGATGAAGGGACTCTGGACTCCTTCCCAGAGTCAGATCCCTGTGGATACCAGAGAAGTACAAAAGACTCTTCAGAAAGTCCTGCTCTGAATTCCCAGGACGCTGGATGGATGGGGAGCAAAGAAACATGTTTGTAAGTGTTTTCATGATGAGTTATGAGTTAAATTAGGAGGCTGACAAGAGCAAGGAGCAGTAAGGGTCCTCCTTGTAGAGTGGGACAGGGTTTGCCCAGGAGGCTACGGAGGACAATGAAAATTATGAACGCTACAAAGTCCTGCTGAAAACACCAAAACTGACACCATCAGGGCATGGCTAACACGGCAAGGGTCCAGCAGGAAGGGGACTCTGTATAGCCACAGCCACAACCTAAATAAGGACAGCTGCTTCAACAAGCCACTTGAGAGAATTTCTCAGGGGATCTTATCATGATACTGGAAAAAGCGTCTATTAAATACCAAATGGATTGCTCCAGGTCTAGGGAAGAGGTAGGCCAGCCAAATCCTAAAGGAAAAATACACAGTGTTCCCAGAGACACAGCAAACCCACCCAAACTGCTCCTCAGCCACATGCCACTGAGATGGCGAGGTGCTGTGTGACAAGAGATGAAATTCATCTAATGGCAAAAATCTTCTAAAACCTCTCGTCTGTTGGAAGCTTCTGATTTTGCAGCTAAAATAGGCTGCAAATTCTGCAGGGCTGGGAATGTCCTGTTTGCTTTTACAGTGGCTGGCATGTTGGGTGGAGTCTCAATGTCTCCAAGATGGCCAAAATTAAACACAAATTAAACAAATTACTTCACAGTTATTTAGCAGTGAATAAAAAAGGTTTTACCCTTGAGAAGAAAAGAAACCATAGACTAAGCAGTGAAACTCCTGGAAAGCACTGAGGACACTGATGATACACAGCCCTGATGATTATCTACCTGCAGAAATGAATGTGCTTTCCAAGCAAGCAAGCTGGCAAACCTTAAAAACTTAAAAAGTAAAAAAAACCTTAAAACTTAAACGTACTTAAACTGTGAAACTGCCGGTTTGTGAGATCTCATCCTCTTACCTGACATCATTGCCTCCGTGGGCAAAGGATCCAAAGCAGGCTGTTAAGATCTGGAGGAAGTGGAAAAGTAGATGGACCTGAGAGGTGTCTTTCTCCTCCTTATCCTCTTCCACAGGATCAACGGGGGGCCGGTTAGGATCTGCGAGTTCAGAGGCCAACTTCATTTCCACCCCACCTTCCTCCGCCTCAATCTCTGCCTCAGCCACGGCGTTGCAATAGCTGGAGTAGCTGTCGTAGCGGACTCGCTTCTTGGAGTAGGAAACAGTGTCCCCCACCAACTTCTCACTGTCTTCTGGAGTAGATGTGTCCGCTGCCTTAAAGGAGGAATGCACAGGCATGCCACAAATAGCAGCAGTGTAACAAGTGTAGCTGTTGTTGCGCCGTAAGAGTTTATAGTTGTTTTCTGCAGTGGGCCTCTCATCGTTGGCCCTGTCCAGGTGTATTTTGTGGAGCAAGTCTTTGTATAAACCTGAGTCCTTGTGCACAGTGTGATAAACGTGGCCATCGCTCCTCACGTGGCCATCGAAGCTGAAGGTGCCGTTGGAAACAGGTGATTTCACCGAGGTGTGCGTCACCGAAAATGCCCTCCCTGAAAAGGCAGAGATTTAGAGGTTTTGTTCACACAAAATGCAGTACAAAAGCCTCCTTTCTCCAACACAAGACAATAATGTGGCCAGCATCTGAGAATACAGGACAAAGAAGATCAATTTGCACTACATGCAGCAAATAAGCCAAGATTCGATTCACTGCAAAATAAAGTCTCTCATTTTCTGTGGAAAAAGAGCTTTGTTCCAGTGCTGAGTCTCCCCAGACATGCTGTATGACCTGCAGCAAGTCACTTGGGATCAGCTATTCTAATGTGATACTTGATGGCTAAATCCTCAGGTTCTTTGAAAATATAAATTTCCATAAAATTCCTTTCTTCTAAAGCAAGCTCTACTTTTTCTCAGGTTTTGTCTACATCGAATAGGAATAATTGGGATTTCTGAAATGTGGTTTACTGCAGTTTCATACTGGGACTTATCTGTTTTAAGAGACATTTCATTCATATTCGTTTGTTTAGGAGACATTTATATATCTTTTAAAAATAACTTTGAAAAAGCAAAGAAAAAAATCCATGTTCTGCAGAAGTATTTCCTTAGCTATTGCAACATTTTCTGTGTACTACTCCTGTGAACATGATGATGATTATTCCCACTGCATACATTTAATGTTAGCATACACTGTAGGACACACATCAAAATGTATCACAGATAATATTTCTGAAGAAACTGTCTTTTTCATTTCCTGACTTCCTGGATTTTCACTGTACAACATTCAGAATTTGGTTTAGCTATTTTTAAACTGGAAGCACTAAAAACTCTAAGGGCTCCACGTCATGACTTATTTGATTTTGTAAGAATCAGTTGAATAAATAAGACATTTATTAACCAAATTACAGGGCTTTGTAGATATTAGCAAAGTGATATCAAAGTCAGCAGACCACTAAGTGGAGGGGGGTGTTCCCACCACACAGCAGAACAGAAAGAGCTTTATGCACACAAGTCAACTTACAAATATATGTTCAGAAAACAATGTGTGAGATTTTTCTAGTGGACACGCTCCAAATGGTCATACATTTGTCAACTAATGTCCAAATCTTTTCATCTCCTGTTGTAGTATGCTAATCATCTCTATGCTGAGTTTGACCTTCATACATCAGTAATCTGTGTGCTCCGTATTTTTCCACTGCTTAATAGGATGGAAACACTATTAAGAATACAAAGTAAAGCATCGCAAAAAGGCAAGTAATTTTTTTTTATCTGTTTCTAAAACTGAAATACAGCCAAGCAAAATGTAATTGATTTTAGGTCCGCTCCAGAAAATGTCACTTGTAAGTGAGCATCTTTCCAAACAAGCACTGAAAAGGGATTGAAAAGAGATGGAAATTCCAAACACTAATTTACTATTTACAGCAGAGACCTACTTGCAAATAAGAAACTTCATTGAAACAAGAAGAGGACAAACCCTCTAAGCTGTCTTAGTTCCTTACCATATGGTACACGTGGATGGTTTCCATTTGCAATATTATCTGATGCCCCAGCAGCTTCTGTAACTGAGCCAGTAAGGGGAATCGTGCTCTCATCAGATGCTTTGGCACCAGGAAGCTCTTTAAAGACTGGTGTTTCTTCATCCTGAATTTTATCAAGACTTTCATCTGATATCCTTGACAGTGCAGCATCTTTCTTTAACCGGCCTAAGGAAAGAATAGTGCTGTAATTTTAAACCCAACCTATACCTCTTGTTACTTAGGTTTCCCCTGTTTACATCAACAGCATGGTTTAACTTGGCTTCAATAGCCAAACTTTGTTTCATACCCACACTATTTCTAACACTTTACCACATTCATGTGTGAACATTCTACAACATCTTTGTTTATCCCGATAAAATTCTCCAAAGTAGATGACTGAAGTAAAACACTGAGCTGTTCATCTATTAATGAAACACAGAACTTTCCTCTGCATTTGTTGAGAGTAGCAGAGCAACTAAAAGCTGTGATCAGCCCAACTTACTGTGAAGCTAAAACAGTCACTTAAAGATGATAATTCTGACATGATTTCTCTCTTTAACTTTTTCTTAATAAAATAGAAACTAGATTATATTCCAGGTTTTATTTTCCTGTTTCTGCTAGACTCCAGAACTGAGCACTGCAATGGCTTGCCTAACAAGGTTTTAAATTTCTATCACTGCAGCTTTTTCAGAGCAAATTACACAAATACATGAGGAACAGTTTAGGCACATCCTGCCTGTGGGTGGGGACCAGACTACGTGACCCCTCAAAGGTGCTTCCACCTCTGAAATATAATATTTCATGATTTTACATCACTCACATTTCATCAAATAACTACTTACTTTCTATTTTTCTCTTCATCCAGGGACACACAAAAATCCAGACTAAGACAGCAAATACTAAGGACACACCAACTGATATTAGAGCAATGGCCCACATTGGCAGTATCAGTCCTAGTACTGTAAAGACAAAGAAATAAAACCGAAGCAAGCCATAAATTAACATGACTTAATTATCCCAGGCAGTGGAAAAGTAGTCTGTTGCAGAAAAGCCAGTGTTCACAACAAATAGAAAACCAAGAAGAAGGAGCTGATGACTTTTAACATACTATCAGTTACTGCAGTATTTAAAGGTATAGCTGACATGGAAACATTTGCAGGTTTAGTCTTCCAGTTTCCTGTTGCCCCACTATTACTATGACATTATTTCCAAAAGAGCCGAGGGTAAAACCCCCACATCAGGGCTGCTAAACCAAGTTTGCAGTGCTTTTATACATGAATGCACATTCAACCACGTTGCCCATGAGGATTAAGTGTTTGCCTGACCTTTGCTCTGGTCCATAAAGCCTGATGCTTAGCTTGCTCTAAGCCCTTATTTGCCTACGATATGAGCTTAATGTGGCACTCCAAAGCTGAGGCTTTGTCCCGCAATGCACAGCGACAGCAACAACTCGTGTTTCTGTAGTTATTGCCCCAACAGAGATCCTTGCACTTGTTCAGCACAATAATCTGACTCTCAGTGAAGGAAGGGCTTGGACTCTGATCTTTCAAGATATATTGCATCTCTTGAAACTTATGTGATTAATTCATCCTTGTGAGTAAATGTTGCCAAGACAGAGGCCTTGGAAAGTAAATATGTATCTCCCCAGTACCAAAAATGGAGTCCCACCTTTTTACTCATACACTTTAGAGACTGCTAAGCTGAAACAGAGGGAACATTAAGATTCTTATTTCATTTATGTTGCTTAATGAGTCACTGCAGAGTGCCTGACCTACTTTTGTGGTACAACTAATGAGGAAATGTGAGTTATACAGCTGATTTACTGTTAAACATCTTGGATACATAGCCAATTAGACTTTAAAGGAATAGTAATGTTACCTCCAAATTGGAAAAGTCTCAAGTTTTTTATTAATTCAAATAATGCTATGCTATGGAAATAGGGTCTACCAACTGCATTTATCTAGTACATCTAGTGTGTTGCATTTTAGAGAAATCTTTCCATTCAAAAAAAGATCAGTATCTAAGCCTGCTTCCTTAATTCAGGGTCATGTTCAGGTGTCTATCTTCAATGGCCTCTTCATTCATAGCTCTTGGACATTAATCTAACCTAAAGAAAACATTTAATGACCAGAGTTTTCAACAAAGTAGTTGAGATCACTGAACATCTTTGTTCTGAACCCTTTTGCTAGAAGTGTGTGTTTAAATATATTCCACTTCAGTAAACTATAAAAATATAAATGCAAATACATAAAATGTGAGAATATAAATATACAAACATAAATACAAGAATATAAAATTTCAACTAATGTAAAAATAAAAATTCAGATATAAATATACATATGAATAAACACAAACATGTAACTGCACATAAAATATACCAATATACAAAAATATAAATAAAGTCCTTCAACATCATTTCGTTCTACTGAGTTGCAATCAAAACACAACACCAAAGAAAGAAGATGCATTCAATCAAGAAATAGGCTTGGGGATTCTTATCATTAAAGGGAAATAAAGAAGTAAATTTAAATAACAGTCTTGGAGACAGACAGGTGCCAGAACCGCAACTCTGCTGATGTCAATGGAGTGAAGGCATTACAGTGAGAGCAAACCTGCTCTCCCACCCTGCTCTGAACATTCACTCCTTGATGCAAAAACCTAGAATACCTTTGAGAGCTCAACATGTGCTCAGATTTACAAAGCCAAAGCTTCATCTCAGTAATTTCCCGTCCTCTAAAGAGGAACTTTTTTTTGTAGCTGTGCTCTTCCCCGCTAACCAGAGTGGTCAGGAGGGTGTCACAGAAACACACACACAAACAGAACCATGTGGGGAGGTGAATGATTTCCTCTAGCCCTCGTTAACTCCTAATGCAGGAGATAACCCTGAGATGTCTGGATGACGCTGGCAGAGCAACCTTACACACTGTGGGAAGCCTTCCTCCCGTGCCTCCCTGCTCACTCACCTGGTGCCCCAGTGTACATGATGGAAAACACGTTAATAGCTATGGTAGCAGCATAGAACACCGGGAGCGCACGGAGACCATTGGGCACAGGGTCTTCCTGCATAGAAACCATGAAAAAAGGGACATGTTAGTTGGATTTCACACCAGACTCATGTCAGCATGAACCTCCATGTAGAAAACACGTGCTCCCGAGTCAGTGGCAGGCAGATGGAGCTTTTGGATGTTGAGGAAAGGATGGAAACCTGCTTGGTTACACCCAAATCCACATTGCTGGTCCTGGCAAGTACCAGCACTCTGGAGGAGCTTGACACTGTCAATGGAAACCAGGGACTTCTGTTATACTTTCCAGTCAGCTGCTGAGTGACCTGGGGGCAGGTTTCTTTCTTCAAGTGTGTTCTTATTTATTTTGTGTCCAAGATGAGGAGTCCCTTCCACTTAGCACAACTGAAGGGTGCCAAGCAGGAGAGGGCTTTGATGTTTTGGGTCTCTGCTACAAACAGTAGTGCAATGCATCCATCTCAAAACCATATCCCTAAGCTCCCACTTCCTGCCAGCTAACAGAAATCTCTGAAATCCCAAGTGTCTGGCTGCATTAAGCAGGTAACACACACAAAGTGAGCAGGCAACCTTTAGCACAGCACTGTGTCTGCTGCCCGCTGCGCTCTCGTGCTCTCAGCACTCACAAGGAAAGACTCAGCTGACGGCACAGCGGAAACACACCGTGTGAGCCACCGACCAAGCCTTTGTGAGGGACTGCCTTGGCCTTTTGAGGGGCTCCACGTGCTTGCAAAGAGCCTGGCAAAGCTGAGGGCTGGCTGATGTGGTTTTATTTGTTGCTGCCATGAGCCATAAAAGGGAGCTGAGAAAAGGCTGTGGCCGCCGTGTGCTATGCCCCGGTCCCCAGGCGTGATGCAGATGGGCTGTACTTGCAGGACCAGCTGCTATTCACAGACACCCCCAACCAGGGCACGGAGCCCTACAACAGGCCACAGAATCACAAGGTAGAAAGCTGCTCCTTTCTTATGCATGCACACAAGTCACTACCTGCTTATGTCAGAAGCTCTACAGGTCTTACTGTTTTGTGAATGGCACAGATGGCACTTGGGAGGTAATTTCCTTAACTTGAACTTTTTATGCCTCTTGAATGCTTACATATGTGGCTTTAATACCAGAGTTCACATGATTTTGATGGCTAATTTCTTATGTTGCTAGGCTTTAAATACAATAGTGGAACTTTTCCTCACTTTTATGCAACTTGAGTTATTTTTTATTCATAGCTGAATCTGATCAAATCTATCATCTGTTTTTATCACTGACATTTATTTAGAGCAGAAATAAAGAACGATGGAGCTGAGGTTACAGGTGGTGCTATTTATAGCCAAAGAATTAATCCCTCATCTATTTAAGTTCCCTGTATAACTGCTAATATAGTGTCCCTTATTTTAGGTCACTGTCATGCACTGCACTTCCCCATTTTAGCAAGTTGAATGGTGTGAGAGAAATGGAAAAGGCAGATAAAAGTGTTCAGGTTTCCAGTTCATGCTGGGGGGCAGAAAAGTCATCTTCTGCACTGGAGATACATGGGCTGATGTTACCTCAGGTCACTAAAACCCATTGATTCAGGTTTCTTGAGAATCTACAAAATAGGCAGATGCCCAACTTCTAATGTCTGATGTGCTGGAAAATCAAGGCTTAAAATTTCACAACTTCAAAATACCAATTAGAGTATCTCCAAGGGAGGACTGTTCTGTTTAAATTACAGTCAGAACAGCTATTGTGAGACTAAGTCAATGCCAGCAGCCTCAATGTACCATCCTCTGACCAAACAGAATATACAATATTAATTATCACATAGCACCTTCTAAGCCTTAAATACTTGTCAAATTACTTACTGTGAGCTTTCAGAACTGCTAAGAGCAAGTGTAACTCAAAAGGCTATTAAAAAAAAAAGACTGGTCTCCTGTCCAAACAGAAGCCACAAAGTTTCAACTCTGGAAATACCAGCACTCAAATGGGAGGCTAAAATACAACCTTCATACTAAGCACTTATGATAATAATGAGATTTCTTTACCTTGTTTAAAATGAAGAATCTGATCAGCACAAAGAGGATTCCAGACATCAAGCCAGATAACAGTGGGGAAATAAACCAAGAGGCAACTGTGTTGAAGAAAGAATGAAACTTGAAATTAACCATATTCTTGCATAATAATTAAGTACATTGTTAATGAGCAATAAACTAAAAAAAGTTCTTGCACAACTGCAATGAATGTTCTGTATGTTTACTTAAACTTGTGCAACTCAATGTCCACCAACACTCATGAAACTCAAAGTAATGTTAGGCACCATTAGAAAAACAGCCAAAGCATTTCCTAATTTTGCAGCTTTAGCAATCAAACTCATCAGTAAACTTTCTTTCAGTTTGAATCAGAGTAGACCAAGAAAATGCTGTAATTTCCTGATCACCATGACCACGAACCTTGCAAGCAAGTGGAAAGCAACTGCATCTAGCAGGATGCCATGCTGCTCCCAGGGTAAGTCTCGAGTTCCAAAATGCCACAGAAGCACCAACTGTAATGTATGATGTGTGTACATTTTTTGCAGGCCAGCACTGCAAGTGTTTAACTGAAGTAGGTGGCAAAGCTCCCACTGATTTCAATAAAACCGGATTAGGGCAGCACTCTGGAAATCTCATCCACAGTGATTTATTGTTCGCAGCATGGTTAACGGATTGAGTCTGCTGTCACTGAAAACCTTTTTACTATTGACAGTATTTTAAAAAAAATACATGCATTGTTGAAGTTCTAAAATACTACCATGCCTTCAGCATCAAATCCTTTTAATAGAGACTTTAGGCTGCACCTCAAGTTCCAAAGGCTTCCAAAACAATAACAAAACACTCCATCACATTCCTGCTTGAATATGCCACTGATCCTGGCAATGGGAGGCTGTGAGTTAAACGTGCTGTATGCCCTGAAGGTGGTGGGTGGAGAAACATGACTGTGGGCATTCACATGATAGCATTCACATTGTTGAGAGCAAGAACAGGGTAGTATGAGCTGCCACAAAAAGAATTAGAAGAGGAGGAATGTCACCTTAAAGCATGTTTCTTGAGGGACAATGTGCCCCCAGCTTACCACTGGGGAAGTACAACTTTTGTCTCACCCCTTTCTCTACTGGAGACACACTGCAGCCCTCAAGGAACATGGCACCAGTGTATTCTCTGAATGACACAACTGGGGTGGAAAATAAATTAATGAGGGAGCGCTACCAGCACAAAGCAGATTTCTGGGAATGCTTTTCGCAGGCAGCAAGCACTGTTTCACACACCCTCACACATAAAAGGAGACAGCACTTACCAATCTTAACAAGCTGCATCCACTGGACACCCTGAGTGCCAATTGCCACCAGAGAAAATCCAATCGTAGCACCTACAATGCAATGGGTCCCTGATATTGGGAGTTTCAAGAACGATGCAATTAGCTGCCAAACAGCAGAACCTAGAAACAAATGAACCATATGGTATAAACAACAACAACAACAATAATGTAACACAGAAAATTCTTTGCCATGTGCCCATATTCTTTCACAAGTGCTGCCTACACTCCTCATGCATAAGAGACATCTTCTAAAGAGAGTTTTGTTCCTGTTCTGTCTCTAAAAGCAGATACTGAGACAGTTTAATAGCAGCTTTGAATGCTACATCTTACTTTTGACTGTTTATGACTAACAGCTCCCTACATTTCACGACAGTTCTGCTTTCAGTATTTACAGCCTGTCTGAATAAGTACACAAACTGCTCCCAGAGCACATCAAGCTTAGAAAAAACCTCATTCTTGACAGCTGACCCTGGAACCTGCAGTGATCGGCATGAGGAGGCATTCACCATTTCACTAGTGAACTACCCACACTCCTCAACTTAGCTACTACCAGAGAAAGGTTCAAACTGTGGGACAGAGAGATTTTATGCTTCATCTCAGCGATACACAGCCATCCAGTCCTCTACAGGAAAAAAGGGCTGAGGAAAGACTAAGGACTCTCTCACTGTCTTCATCCACAGCTCATTGTTGCACTGGAAAAATTCAAGACTGCTGAAAAAGGCTTATGTTAGTCATGGAGAAGCCAAAGATACCCCTGATATAAGGAAATAAGTTTCCCTAACTAAGGGACAGTGGTTAATGGTCTATAAAGTAAATGCAACATCTGGCGTTCCAATGAGATATCCAGGAAGGATGCTGGCCAAGAGTGCAGGGGGAAAGAAAGTACCCCAAGCACTTCCTTCAGGAGTTAGATCAGATACAATTGGCCACCAAGCTCTCAAGCACACAGCTCCATGCTCTGACTCCTTTCCACTTTGCAAAGACAAAGGATCCCTGCTCCTCCTGCAGTGGGGCACTAACCTCAGGACACCAAAATACTTTTGAGAGTGACACAAGCTTTCTGTGGACCTCCCCTAATATTAGAGAATTCTTACAAAGATCTCTTCTTCATCGTAATACTTCAGTCTTAAGTCTAATTCTTCATGTATTGAGCCACCAATGGCAAGACTGCCGTAAGAGATCCTGAATTTTCTGGCTCACGCCACATTTCTTAACAGATCTGCATCAGATACGGGCGATAAAGCAAGGTCACTGAACATACGCTGGCAGATTAACCAAAGTTTCAATCTCCACCCTCAATTCCAACAGGAGAAGATGGTTTGAAGGTCTTAAAACAGAGCCATCTGCAAACAGTGATTTGCTGGTATCATATGTGGCTACATTTGGAAGCCAACCAGTTTGTAAAACTGATCTCTCCTGGCATACTACCCCAAAACAACTGTTACTTCTCTTGCTAGTGGAAATTCTAGATCAATCAAGGAACACCTGCTCTCTAATTCTTTGGCTTCTTTTCACCTGGACAAAAATAAAAATAAAAACATTCTGAAACCTTTGACATGAACCTAGAGGTCAGAAAATGGAAGTGAGGAGAAGGTTACATCTGAAAGAAGTCAAATAAAAAGATAATAGATATGTAATTACAAAATACTCAGTATAAAAAAATAGGGAAAATGCAGCCACAGCTGCATTGCAAATGTCTAGTGAGGACTGGCAGTTTATTGTCAGGGGAAATAGAGGGAGTATGTAACTATTTCTTGTTTATTTAACTTCACAGAATCACAGAGTGGTTTGTGTTTGAAGGGACCTTAAAACATCATCTAATTCCGAACCTGGTGCAATGGGCAGGGACACCCTCCACTACACCAGATTGCTCAACTGAAAACAAACAGGAGAGAAAATAAAAGGTAGTGGAGGACCAGTGGATGGTCTGAGAAGGGCAATGCATAATCTAAAGAAGTTTAAGGAAGCACGTTAAGGAACAGAGCAGAACTTTACTCTGGGACTTGCAGGGCTTTAACTACCTACATCAAAGCTTTAACTCCTCTTCAAAACAAAGTGTATGTTCTCAATTTTTACCTTTGCAAAACTCACTCAGGAAGCAGGAGGCTCACTAGGTGGGTGACAGAGTCCCAAATTCAGACCCTTCATGCCTGCTAACAGCATGGCCCACACCTTTTCCTCTCAGTTAATATCCCCTAAAGACAGAGGGCTGGCTGCAGACTGCCCTGGCCAGGAGTTGCCTGCACCAGCGTTTGGCCAGGGTGCATTTCATGCTCCCCATGCTGAGGGCACCTCATCCATTCTCCTAAGGCCCTGGTGCTCTGTGACAGTCGTGAGCCCCATCAAATACCACATCACCTGCAGGACTAGATTAGTACTTGGCTCTGCTAATCCTGGCTGGGATGTCCTCTCTGTCGGTGGCATCTCCTCAGTCGCATCAGCTGCTGACTTCAGCTCGCACCAGAACCTCTAGAACAGCACACGGGCAAGCCCTGACGATAACCTGACAATTACTTAATGCTGGGAAAGTACCACAATTTACCCCCAAGAGCTACAGTCCTTAACTTCTCATCTGGCTAATAAACAACATTTTAATGTGCTACAAATTACTAAAAAATGCAACATTTTATAATTTTAATCCCATTACTTCCTGCCTCCTTTTCTCTTAGGAGAGAAGGTTGACCTGCAAATTACATCTGCTGTTTGCTGCAAGCATCAAAGGATCTTCCACCAACATCTGGAAAGAGGATACAGTGACTTTTGGTCTCTCCCAGACTGTTGACTCATTTAAGCCTCATTGAAATTCAGAAGCTAAATCCATTTGCAAAAACATGATCATGAGCCATGAGAGAACAGGGTGGGGGGAAATGCAGAATAAAAACAGAAAGAGGAAAGGAAAACATCCAAGAAGGCTCCTAGAAAACAAAGAAAACATATCATACATCCAGAGAAAAGCTGGAGATGGGTTTGGGGAAAAAATATTGAAATCTGCATTTTGTAACTTGTGATTAATTCTGAGATTTATAATGTGGAATTTCTTCTTAATGCCCCTCCTGGAAGAAGGGAATGCAACTGGTCATGAAGTTCACACAGGCTTATGTAAATACGCATGCAAATCAGCTGTTTTCTTTGAGCTTCTGGCCAGTTGCCTCTGCAGGGGGGTATCTGAGACTTAAAACTTCACCCTGCCAGGATCAGGATACCAGAAATAGATAGAGAGAAGAAAATGGACCCTTCCTTCAATGGGAATCAAGAACACACAGGTCACTTACATCTCAGACTGTGTGCAGCGCTCCTGCCTCACACCCATGGGAAAAGACTGAGCCACTTCAGCCAGCACAAGAATAAAAGAAGCAAGTGGAATGGTGCTAAAATGCCACCCTACACCTTGAGGGAAAGACCAGACACCTACAGCTGACCCTGCAAGGTATCAGGAGAGAGGAACTGATTGGGTGGGGCAATTGAGGTGGTTTAAGGTGGGACCATCTGTGGAAGTGGCTGCTGTCCCAGTGATTTCCTGGTAACCAACTCCTCTTCCCCTTGGGCAAGGAAAAGTGGCCAATCTTCAGGAGGCTCAGGAGCAGCCAAGGAGCCAAGAGAACTACCTCCACACTCTCAGGCACACAAAGCTGCCTCTGACAACTCCAGACACTGTCACTCAATGTCCATTTTGATCCACAAAAATAAAAGACATTTAAAAAAAAAAAAAAAGGCACTCAATTTTCCCTTTTCCCAAAGGAAAGGGGAAAATAACCATATCTAGTAAATCTCTGCACAGACTCACCTATCTCCTGTGCAGGTCTTGCGTAAAAAGTGTGAGGAGGTTAGAAGGGACAGGTGGAAATAATATTTAGGTCAGGTTTAAGTAGGTTTAAGGAAGAAAATCTTTAAGTGGAACATCCCTGTCAAGCAGAGGATGCTGTGATGCTTGTGTAAACCGCACCACCCTGTCGCGGGATATCACCAACCTGCCAGACTGAGGTGGGAGGGCTGGTCCTTGCCGGGGCTGCCTCTCCCACAGATAAAGGCTCTCCTCCCTGCTGTCTCCTGCCCTTTAAAAGCAGGTTTGCTCCTTGAGGGAGCTCTCGAAAAGCTCACAAAGCCTCTTGCACATAAAGAAAGAGTAAATACCGTGGCTTAATGTTACTTACCTCAGAATATGCTGTTTGTTCTGAACAGAGATTTAGTTAACCACAAACACAAGCAAGGGGGCAGACTCTAAGGTACACTGACCGGCTGCCGTTTGGGTCAGAAAATAAAAAGACCTTAAATGTGTGATTATTTTTACTGCTCCCTTAGTTTTGCCGTGGGCAAGGGTGAAGTGTAGGACTAATTGCATTCACTCAGCCAGGCAATCACTTTACACAAATGTGTTTGGATTTTAACTGCAACTTTTTCTAAAAGGGCTCTTTCTCATACACACTTCACTGAAAACTGCTGATTCTGTAGGATCTTCTGTACAGACACAAATGATAGGCTTTTATATTTTCCATTTACCAACACAAAAATCTCCAAAAGAATTTTTTTTCAGTATCTTATACATATATAATGTGATCCACTGTGTTAAACATTTCTTTTCATCTATTAGTGAAATGGCTGAACCATTGAAAAATGTAAATTATAAGAAGCATTTAAAAAAAAAATAGACTTAAAAAGGAATACAGCCCCCTGCATTCACACAAAAAACAAATATGCAGGTCCAGAAGATGGGAAGACTAAATTAACAACGCTGACAATGAACAGGGTTACAAATGCAGAACAAACATTACTTGGAATAGGAAAGTATTACTTACCAACCATTGCACTCACTTCTCCTGCCATCAGCAGTGGGACAGTGTTGTTGTACAGGTTAACATCAATGATACCTTTCCGAATTGTTTCTCCTACTTTTGCTCCCAGTAGTACTGAGCCAGTGGTTTCAAAAACTGAAGCCAAAATGCAAGCCTGGCGTAAAGTAACAACACCAGAGCCCACAGCCGTTCCGAAAGAATTTGCAACATCATTCGCACCAACCGAAAAAGCTAAAATGAAAGCAATGATAAAACCCACAATGACCATCCACAGGTACTCATCCAGTGCCATCTTTCCCCAAACTGTAGATCAGCTTCCCCTTTGCAAATAGTTAATAGTCAAGGCTGGAGGGCACCGCAACGGATTTGGAAAGCAGATTTCTTGTAAACAATGAGTTCTCTCTGGAAAGTGCTGGGTAGTGTTAGAATGTGAAGAAACTGCTAACTGCTGATTTTCGAACTACTATAAATACTGTTCATTTGGCTGCCTTCGGTCAGCAGTGAAACACATTCCATATTTTGCTTCCAAACCGGTAGGACTGCGATGTTCTGTCCTGCAACAGAGAATAAAAATAAAAAATAAAAAAAGGAAAAAAATAAAAGAAAATTTAAAAAAAAAAAAAAGAGGGGGTGGGAATACTCAGCAGAGCTCATAACAATGTGTGTTTTCAGAAGTAAACAGATGATTTAAACCCACTAATGGGGTCCTACCTCAGCATGTGACTGCTCTAATCATAAAGCAATTCAGGAAAGATTCAAATTAGGTCACCTCCAAAGCAATATGTTTCTTGCAATATTACTGACCAAGGAAAACTTTTGAGCAATTTAAAAGGATTTAGAAAGTTTGAAAATGTTATTTGTGCTGAGCAATAAGGTCTCTTCCTAGAAGGAGGATTCTTCTTGGCTTTTTGTACCCAATGAATATAAGACATACAGAGTACAGACCATACCATACAGCCTGACTCCCAGCTGTATAACACCTAGCTCCACTGATCTCAGCAGAGCTCTCAACATTTAGGCTCAACATTGTGGATATACTCCTTTGAAAAATTATTTTAGATGTATGCCTGTCTAGGAAACACCACTGAAAATACTCTGAAGAACATTAATATTCATCTGTTGTTGTTATCACATCCCATGCAGTAGAGAATACAATTTCCTTACAGCTTTTCAGTCACCAAAACAGCACAATAATTTTAATATTTCCACGTTATCCCTACAGGTTTAGAGAAATCTATGAAAAAGGTGCAATGAAAACATTGAACTCTGTTTTTTTTATAGAGTTACCAATTACCTAACAGTTATTATATTCAAACTATTGTCACAGATATGTTTGACTATTTATTTTGACAGTTTCAGTTTTATGACTGCTTTTTGAATTACATCTTTCTCAGTCCAATAAGAGTAAGCTCTTTCAAGGCAACTAAAGGACACAGAGAAAGGGAGTTTAAAAAATAAAACCTTCATCATCCAAAAGACTGGTAAACAGAGCAAGAAGGCCCACAGTGACATGAAGATAGTCAAAAGCTAGAGGCAAATTTTCCCAAACCACCTGCCTCCTCCAAGGGCTAATTCTCTTCTGTTACTGGCCACCACAAAGACATCCTCTGGTCCTGTGGCAAGGGGTTAAATGAACATTTAGCAGCAAATATTCATCAGCCAACTCCACCTTTTTTATGAAGCACTTCTCGAGAGCAGGGGATGTCAGATTAAAGTCCTGAGCCCACCTCCTGCTCACTCTCTGTTCCCCACAGTCACTTCAATTTCATACAATATTCCCACATGCACAGTTCATGCTTAATTTCTTTCAGTGACCCAAATGCAATTTGGATCCTGCGGTAACAAGGATTTCTGAAATCCCTGAAATAATAGCAAAATTAAAAAATTAAAAGAGATCTTGTATACTTCTGAGGTGCTAGATCCTTGAGAACAACCAAGAGAAAAATAAAACATCTATCTGAGTTTCCTAGAAAACATTTAAATTGATGCCAAGGATTGATGCTTTCTCTACATATACATATTCAGCAAAAAAGATGTCCCTCTTTTTTTCTGCAGGCTCCAAACTGGCTGAACAACTGTTGCTCCAGTCTTTTCCAGACATGGAGCAGACATCAATCCTTGAATGCCTTACACTCTAAAATAACATTTCAGAAGGTCTTAATGGCTAAAAACATTTGTATAAGGATTTTTATACTATGAGATAACATGAGAAAAACGAAGCACCAAAGCATGTTTTCTGTTTGAAGACTTGTTGCTTTTTTATAATTCATGACCACTCAGCCCACTTAGTGGAAAAGGACTTGACAAAAACAGAAAAGGCTAATGATATTTGGAAGAAACAATTATAGTTAGCACTTGTTTGCCTGCGAATGAAGACAAAACCCCACTAAAAGCATTTGTTAAAAAAAAATCTATTGTGCATGTCAGATTTTTGCTAGGAGATGGAGTACTGGACTAGGGTCCTTCCTTGACCCTGGTGATTAATGATTAAGTTCTTCATCCTGCATGCATTTCCACTGTACCTTTGCCAAGTTAGCCGCAGCGCCCCAATTTCTTCTCCTGAAAATGGGCAAAGCTGACTGAGGTCCATGCATGCATCCACAGACTGTGATTATACAATACCCATTTCTTTGGAGCAGCTAGATAAAAGCACATCCTTAGTCCCAATAGAGATCTGCCTTTTCTCCACTTACCAACCAACCTACCAATTTATTGTGGCGACCCAAATCCTGGGACTGAGAGAAAGAGCAGGCTGATTGTGACATTCCCCCACCACAACAGAATTCATGGGACAATGTTAGCCAAATCTGGCTCCTCCAGCCACAGCAAGTTCCTGCAGTTTCCAAAATAAACCACTAAGTCACAAGGTTGCCTTTATTAGATTCCTTGGGAGAGGGTGGGGTGAACTCCTCCAGATGGTCCCAAAGAAATTAAGACTTCAAGTGTGTGTATGTGTGCTCCTAAATCGCCTCATGAAGGCCAAAGAGTCTCCAAGAGACTGTCAGCAGGGCTTTTGGCAAAGGGCTCAGAGAGGCAGCTACATAAACTCCCTCCCTGTGAAATAGGATATATGGCCTCAGGAGAAAAGGATGTCTTAAGTAAGAAGTCACCCCTCCTGTCGTTTTATGCAAGGTGATAGTTCAAAACAGAGCCTCCTCCAAAACTTAAGGCTCAACTTGATGTCCACTGTGTTGGCACAAGCAACAGCACAGCCAAGCTGAGTCTTTAAAAAGATGGAAATCAAAAGGAAAAAAGGAATGAACACATGTTTAAAAATTAACATGTAGGCTGCCTTTGAATGGCTAGGTGTTACTACTTTCAACCTTGAAAAACGGTAAGAGATTTTAAATGCTTATAAAAAACAAAAGGAAAAAAAGGGACATCTCTGCTGAGAAAGTTTTCAGAAATGCAAAATATCCTGCAAAGCAGGCCAGTGACTAAATACAGACTAAATCTTGTAGCACGCTCCCTTCTAGAGCTCAAAATATATTTGGCATGCTCAAACAAGCTGAGCTATGCCCCTCATCACCTAATGCAACCCAGAGCCTGTGCCATTTCATGTTGTAGTTGGGATGAAAAAGAAACTGGAAAAAACACCATGCAGTAGGGAATGGCAGCTGATCTGCTCCATGTGTGACACCTGGAAGCCACCAGCCTGCATCTCTCCTGTTCTCACTAATATTTCATCAATGTGCCTCTATGTAACCCAAATGCAATTCAACCCGACCTGCTGGATGCTGGGATCCTCCCATTTACCCCTGGGACTGATGCCTCCTCTGCAGTCAGGTGTGCTCTGCTACCACAGCAGACTCTGGATGGAAAAACACATTTTCCTATTTAGGCTTTGGGTAACTCTTCCTGAACCAGCCCAACCTGTTCTGCCATGCTGCAAACTCACACTTGGGCATTATCAGGGCAGAGGAATTGTGTTAGGACCAGGGAGCTGCAGGACCTAAAGCTGGGGCAAGCATCTCTGATGGCTGTTAGAGTGGAGAGAAACATGTAGAGATGACATTTCAAGCTGTAAGAAGGTAATTCTGCATTAAGGCAAAATTTTGTAGCTAACAGAGTTTTCTTATGGTCCACAGTCAGTGCACCATACTTATGAGGTTTGAGTTGAAGCCTTTTAAGTGGACTTAGAAACCTGCACCTTGACAAGAAAAATTTGATTTTTGGAAATGCTAAGCACGTCCCTCTGCCTCACTGGCAGATGATCCAGACACCCCCCTCAGACTGCATTTTGTTGTTAACTAAACAGCTTGTTATAAGTCTGTCAACATTGAGTGCTACTTCTTCCCTAAGGGAGAGAGGAGAACAAAACCTAGGTAAAAAAGCACCTCGATTCATGCACAATGACAAGTGAATCCTCAGGAAAAAGTTAGGATCTCGTGGTAATCATGAGATCATTTTAGGACATGTTTATATATGGGCATTTACTAAGACAGGTCTCCTGGAAGGTATTCAGAGTACATTTACTAAGCCTAGACAAGTTTTAGTGAAAAAAATTACTAAATTTGAAAATCAGAGAGGTCAGGGTTTGGGGATTTTTGTTTTTGCTAAACAAATTGCTGCTAAAGAGAACAGAGAAGTATCTAACAGCAGGAATGAATGGATAAATAAAAGCTCAGTACTAAGATCAAATTCTAGGGAAGCAATCAGAGTGCATTACCCTCCAGCAATCCAACTGTGTGACATAAAGGAACAAACAGAGATCCCATAAATGTCCTTTAATCTTCACAGAAAATTAGGGAAGAACCTACAGCACTTGTGAAACACTGAAAGGTATGCAGCTCATACCATAAATAAATCATGCTGTATGCAGCTCTCCTACTCTCAGAAGTTGCCCCATGCTGCAGCTGAAAAATTTTCTTCTGCTCTGGATGGGACAGAGATTCTGCGAGGCCCCAGTTTTAACCAATTTGTTGTTGCCCAAGTATGAACAAAAATCAAAGGACGGCAGCTAGTGTAGCATTTCCCAAAATAATTTTTATGACTACTCCACTTTGCATTAAGGCAAGGCAGACAAGGGAGGACAATTTATTTTCCTCTGCCGTGCTGAAAACAGTAGACGTTTCACGATTGACAGCGGCACTGAATTTGTACTGACAGGCAGGTTCACTTCTAGTTACCAGTGGAGGAAGAGTCTGTCTAAAATGCTTACCAGACAGCAGCTTCTGGGAGGTTAGTCCATATCCTCTCTGTTTCTGTATGTTGCTTTTATATAAAACCCATCGGTCAGGCTTCCACCTATGCGTATAAACTCGGGCCAGATCTGGCATTCCAGTCTATGGGTACTAAACACAGCACTGCATAGAAACCAAGCCTGATTTATAACCAGAGCTACTAACATCGCTCATATCAATAGTCCTTATCATTTCCAGTTCATGCTCAGGCCACAAGGCTCACAAACTATTTACTTTAAATTACTAACGCTACATTCGTGATATGAAAGGTGGTATTGAATCAAGTGGTTCAAGACTGAGAACATCCCTATATGGCTCTAAATTACATGCACAGGACTTGTCACAAGGCCAAACATTATGCAAGTTTAATGCTCCAGTACACAAAAAGCACTCCCAACTTACTATAAAAAAAATCAATTACCACATCAGCAGAAGCAGGTTTTGTATCAATCAGTTCCTATTTTAACACATTCACAATGTGCTTAAGCATACTTCATGCTACTACTTGATATGGAAACAAGACTGAAGTTGATAGCTTTCCAAGGATTCCCATCCAGTTTAACATTGCAGAGAGGGACTGTCACTGTCAGCTCCCAAAACTTCCAGAGGATGCTTCCTTTTCTTAGTCCCTATCAACCTTTTGTTCCCACCACTGAAAGGTCAAAAATGGATATAAAATATCTAGCATGAGATTTTGTTGCTGAAAACATTCAATAAAAATACAGACAGCAGCCACTTTAAGCAATTCTACAAACAAGTAAGAAAGGTGAAGTATCAACAAGTTCTCGTGCATTTGCTGATAATATCTTTTTCTCTAACTAAAGGACAATTTGACCCTTCAGTGACTGAACAAAGTCTTTCTAACAGGCAAGTAGTTTTTATTACTCAATACTACAGATTTTCAAGATCCATTCAGAGAAAACAAGTGTTCATGGTTACAGGAAACATATTTTATAAAAGCAAACCATGCAGAGAAGTCTTTTAAACTCACCCAGTATTTAAAAGTTGTTTCAAGAGAAAAAGGAGCTAAGTCTTCTAGCAACCCTCCCTTCTGATTGGAAATACAGGTTGAAGTCTAAAATAGACATCCTATCATTCAGCACAGTCACATCTGAACATGCAAACTTTCAGAGGGTAGAAAGAGGGCTATAACTTACACCAGGCAGTCCGGGGATAAAATTCACTCCGGCACAGGAGAGCACACAAGACAACACTGAGAAGCATCAATGCGAGTCCAGATTCTTATTCAGTAGGTGAAAATCTGCCTCCTCTTAAGCAAAGAATTCTGCTGGGGGTGGGCACTGATAAAACACAACACTGCGTCACGACTGCACCAGAGAGACAAACCAATCCAATGAAGCTCGTATTAAAAGCAACAAAACCTTCCCTTCCCGCCCNCCCCCCCACCCCCTCCAGGCATAGGCATAGACAAGAAAGGAAATCTCATTTTTGACTATCAGCTGAGCATTTTGGTGAGAGCAGGTAATCTTTGAGGAGTCCCAGATCTTCTATTTGCAAGCACACTTAAATGCACTTTTAATTCAAGTGCATGTGACGGTAGGGTACGTATATCCAATTTGGGAATGATGTTGTATGCTTGCTACTTTATCCATGTCAGTAGAGGTCCCACAGGCTACACAGACTGCAGAAAGTTAAAGATGTGCACAAGTTTTGACTGGATCTATGCCTAAGCAAACAACTTCACTTTCAACAGTTCAGCCTAAATTACCCAATCCAGATTCCTTCAACTGCTTTCCTTTAAGTGGGAAACATTTTTGCACATAAGTCAAGGCAAAACTAATGTTTGCCTAAAAGTACCCGCCTTAGCTTTATGTAAAATATTTGCTTTAAGACTATATAATGCAATTAAACTATCATATTCAGCAAAAATTAAAATCAATTAAAATCAAAACTGCGCTGTCACAGTTAGAAATCTGACAGACAAAAATTTATTTGGACACATTTATGGTTTATAAATTTATCCGCTAGGTTTTACTCCATTCTGAGTCAGTAAAATTCATGTAATGATATTCCAACTTAATAAAATTAAATCTGTAAATTTGCTGCATCCTTGAAAATTTGAGAAAAAACAAATCAATTCAGATTTGCAAACATAGACTTAGAAACCTAATCCTTTCCTCATCTAGTTTTTTAAGTTTGAATAAAGGATACGTCATAACAAGAAGTCAAAAGTTTTCCGAATTGGTTAAATTCAGCTGCACATCTACAGGGGTTATTTGGTAAAACTGAAAAGTGCTTCACAGTTCTTAAGATAACTCACATGGATTAGCAAGCCTACATCACCTTCTAAAAAGATTTAGGGCAAAAGTCCAACTAGAAATCTGCAATGAAGAAATGACATTAAAATCTGCCCCCCCCCAAAAAAGAATTATGTATATTGGGCTATGATTATTTTTCAGGAATGCTGATTCTTTATTTAAGGTCGATTACAATTACAATTACAATTAAGTCTGCAATATAACTGCTACCTTTATGAAAAGCTACATCTCTTAAGTCTGGTCATGATGTCTTGCCTTTTGCCTCTTTAATAGCTGGTAAACAGGCTTCCAGTTTTAAGAAAACTGAGAGGCTAAGACTTTCACAGTGGCTTTCCCTTATGGACAAAAGCAGCATATTTTAACAAATACATGAATCTTTTCCTACAGATTATATATCTTATTACCTTTCTTACTTTTTTATTTTTAAACAAGTAGCACTGCGATCAATGCAAGTGAGAGTGACCACAATTGTAAACATTAAGTCAGCCTGTATTTATAGATTTGGATTCCAAAGTTTTAAGAAAGTGAATAAACAAGCACAGAAACTTCTTGTAGCACTTGTTTAACTTTACATGGTAAAGAAAAAAAAAAAAAAAAAAAGCAAAATATTATTTCATGCTCTCTTTACAGCTGATGTCTGCCTCCAACCCGAAGGGTCCCAGTAAGCATTAAATCCATCCTAATTCTCCTTAAAGGACCATTCTCCCAGCCTAGAGTAACCACCACCAGCATGCAGGTAAAAACACCGCCGAGGGGACGTGTTATTTGAGAGGTATCTATTTCCATTCCAAACGCCAGAAGCTGCCAGCCTGACCTGTGGGAAGCATCTCAGACCCAGGAGAGCTACAAACGGGAACCATCCGAGTGCTGCTTCCCACGAGCCAGCCTGGCCACAACGGTGGCTTCTCGTTGACCTAAGCTTCAAAGCTCGGGCTACACGCAAAGCGAAGGATGTAATAAACAGCACGGGGAAAAGGAAATATCTTCAAAGTTTTTGTTCTGCTAAATCAGCATTGTGGACTTCAGGCATGGGAAAATTCAAGCCAAGATAGGTTGACCATTAAAAAAGAGTTATAATTTGGGACACCACTAGAGAAGCAAGCAAAGGAAAATTTATAAGACCGCAGAATAAATTATGAGGATCGGTTTTTGGAAATGGCAGCTCCAGTTTGGTTCCCATCAAATCAAATATTTGTATAAATGATAAATTACAATCTCGATCAGCTATCATAATTTGGTTTTAATTGTGATTTATTTTGGTAAATCCACAACTGGCAGATCCTCGTTTGATTCAACAAACTCATGCTAGGCAGATTTATATTCAGGCTTAAATAATGTAATAGGACAAGCCAATTTAAATATTTAATTTTAAACCCCCTTTGTTTTCCATTTCTGCATCAGCTATTTTCTGAAAGATGCCCAGGTTCTCATTTCCCAGTGACCACTAAAACAAAGTTAATTTTGCAACTTAGTGTAACTTTTATATCAAATGTAACTGGCCTTTTTTGCCGTTCAGGTTGGAAGGCTACATATGTAAATGATTACTCATATTTTAAAACAGATACATTTCGAGTAGAAAATAATGGGGGACGAGTATAATTTTCTAACATAAAAAATGATAAGAATTGGAACCTGGATGCCTGTAAAATGCATTTTTACATACAGAAATACAATAAAAACATCCAAAATGTTTTGTTGTTGTTCCAGTTACATTATGCCAGCTTAAATAAGGTTACTGACCAGCCACAGAAACTTCTGGGTTCTCAGGTACCTGCTGGTACTCTAAAACTGGGTGCCATAAGCACCTGGAACTGGGACCCTGCCCCTGCCTGGGAGCCCTTATTCCCCCTCAATCTATAAGCAAAGAAAATAAAATTAATGAGGAGGAATTAAGATGGGTGGCAGACGGCAGCCCATCGTAGCTCGAAGAAACCCAGCTTTTGTGATACCCTCTTATTTCTGGTATTGAAGGCCCCCATGGCCATCTCCACCATGGGGACCTTGAAGCAGGACACCACATGCCAATCATTATCTGGAAATCAGCCCTGAGGTCCTTGAGACTAAGATTTAACACTGCTCTACCAAACGCAGCACCTCTTCTTGGTGCTCTGGTACTTCTGTTATGCTCAATGAATACCAACAAAACTCTGAGCGTCTGCACTGCAGAGAGCTGCAAACACAGTTTAAGTTAAAAAGAGCCAATAAAAGCACATCTGCTTTAGCACATTGGATAGCAAGCTCCAAAACATTCCATCAGGATAATCTCCAAAAGAGATGCACCCATGTTTGGCTGCAAGAAAAACCATCTCAAGGACTCTCTGGAAAGTTTAATGCAGTAGACATAAAAATTAAGAAGTCATTTAGCATTCAGGGATGGAGAAACTCTGCTCTAAGGAATCAAACCCCTTGGATGGGCTTTCTTGATGGCTCTGAACTCTGTCACCCAGTCATCCAAAGGTTTTTTTCTCCAGCGAGTTTGCGGGCTCTCAAAGAGGACATCCCACCCCAGTTAGGGGACTTCCACTCCCAGTGGTCGAGGTGAATTAGCTGTGCTTGCACAGGCATGCATGGAGAGCTGCCATGTTACAGCATGTGACTCTGCTTGAGATCACACTTGTCTACTGAGTGAGCCAGCCCTGGGAAATGAAAGGGAGGAACCCACAAGTGGAATTGCTGGAGGCCAAGGCTGGCGCAGAGGATGACACAGGCTCCGGGTGCTGTGTGGCCTGGGAGAGCCACACTGACTCCAACCCCTACCACAGCACAAGCCCATGTCAAGCCAGGAGGAGTTCAAAGGCAGCAAAGTGATTCTGAAGGGGCAAGACTTTGGCCAGGACTGATTCAAGCACTGCCCCAGTTAATGCTGGGGACTGGACTTGGATGGCCTGTGATTCCAGCCAATTGACCAGAGACTAGAGCATACCCATGCCCATACTACGACCAAGGAAAAGGATGAGCTGCTGTTGTGAGCCACCCTGAGCTTAATCTTCCCCTCCCCAGACCCATATTCAAAAAAACCAATCAGCATGGGCACAGTACTATAAAAGCCCTGGCTACGGCTGACAGCCCAAGGAGCATTATCCTGAAATACTAACAGACCTGTACTGACTTTACACAGAACATAAAAACCGCCCATGAAACACTCCTGTGGCAATCCAAAAATATGCATTTTGCAAATTCAGAGGTTCATGCGAAGATGCCCTTGGTGAAAAGCCCAAGTGTGGTTGCCAAAAGTCAACAATGCAAATTTTTCAGATAAAGGAAACCTGACACTTCCAGCCCCAGATTGCCTGCCATTTCCATTTCAGTTTGGGTTTCAGAGAACAACCACTGTGGAGCCTTCTGTTTGAGCCAGAAGAGAAGGCTGGAGCTCCCTTGAGTCCAGCAACCCCCTCTCTTCAAACAGAACTAGAGTGAGTGAGTAGATATCAACATGCCAAACCACACCGGCTGGCTCTCGCTGCCAACCTCCAAAATCAGTGTGGCCCACAGGACAGAAGACCACGCACTGCTGAAATGAGCTAGCTGAATGTCAAAAGGAGGAAAGGACCAGGGGTATAATCAAAGAGGAGGGACAGTGACATAGAGGTGTCAACCAGGGTTATGGGGGGTAAATGGAAGAAGATGAGGCCAGTACACTCTGGCAATGGAAATTTTGCTGGTTTGTTGTTTTGGGTTTTTTTTTCCCTATGAGCATTGCAGTAATAGAGATATAAAGGGGAAAACAGCAATGAAAGCTGTGACCTTGGCTTCATTTCACAGGAATGGGAGCCAAATATTACACCAGGAGGCTGGTGATCATGCTCATGCTGCCTGGCGACCATGCAAAGCATGGCATCTGCCAATTAATAGGTCTGTTTCCCCCTCAGAGCCCAATAGCTGCTGATCTCTGTTCTTGAGTCCATGTAATAGTCCATATCTGTCTCCTGCAGCCTTTGCTGCTAGAGGCATGAGAAACATGATGGTGAAGCAAATACCTTGAGTTCCACCTACCAGGCAGCATTAACATCCTGGTAGCTTCACTGTAGGTTGACATTACTGAAGCAAAGGAGTGGCCAGCAGACTTGTCACATGGGCTAGAGATTAAATCACTGTCAATGCCAAAGAGTGTCCCACAGCTGGGTTCTTGGCTTAGCAAACCCCCAAGATGTCTTGCTAAGGGTGTGTGGTCATAGGAAGCAGGTGGAGGAAAGTCAGGCTTTATCTCTCATGGAAGGCTGGGGACCAAACCCAGTGGTCCAGCACCAATGTCCAGGTGGAGCACAAAGAGTCTTCCTAAAGGTTTGGGCAAGGTAACAGGACACATGGACTGAGGAGCATATTCATCTTCCAAAAGAGCTTGAACAGCTCAAATTTTGTCTGCTTGACACAAAGTCTGTTGGGAACAGGAAGTTATTAGGCAGCAGAATGTATTTGAGTACCTGGCACCAGCAAACAGGGCAGGTGGCTACCGTGCCTCATCCTCAGGAAATGGTGTTCCTAGCTAAGCCACAAGGATGAGAGCGACGCATTTCAGCAGCCCGATGGCAGTTCTCCGGAGGAGAAGAGATAGTATGGATGCTGCTGAGAGGTCAAGAATGGCAAAGGGGATTCCATGAGGAACCCTCCCCTCTTCCCCTGCCTTCTGGTGTGAGAATCAGAGCTAGTCATGCCAGGATCCTGTTATGCCCACCATGGCTCAAGCTGGGACTTCTCTAGACTATGCACCTCCCTCTCAGAAAATGACCAACCCAACAATGGGAGTGGCACAGCACCGACACAGACCTCTCCACTCCACACCAGCACTGTGAGAAGAGCCACACCACTCCAAGGAAAGGTGCAAATTCCAGAATTAGCTGAAAAAATCAAGCAGAAAAGGAGAAAATAACCCCAAAAAATAAATAAAATTAAGTCTGTGAGAGCCACGCATGACAATCACACCGTGTCGAGAGTTCCCTGAAATATGGAAGAACATGCAGAGCACAATTCTTGCAAGACCTGGAAGGGACCATGGTCTACTCCTGTTGTACTGATAAGGCAAATTTACCCACTATTATCCATAAAACAAACTAGCAAGTAGATTATCATTTAAATAAAAAATACTGAATACAAAAAGAATATAAATTTTTTTTTTTTTTTCCTTTAAGGAAGTAATCAAGGAATCTATAATTAATAAAACAATGGCTTCTTGTCACCAAGACCTTCAGAAGTCATATAAATAATTTCCTCTTCCATCTCTTCTACACATAAATTAAAAAGGGGAAAATTAATTATGCCATTTCTTCAACTATCAATCTGTTTCTCCACTTTGAATTAAGCAGATATTTAATTAAATCAAATTAATAAAATTATGTGAGAAGACTTGCTCTGAAACAGTGAAATACATTACTCCCAAAATGGGCTTAATATTTCAATCAACACTATCTCCAAGCGTTTAACCAGATATCTTTCACAATTTGATTTTGTCTTTAAAACTTTATCAGACGTGAAGATATCTTAATCACTTAATTTAATCCTAATAACTAAATAGATTACAATAAATTTGGGCTATATTACAAATTTGTTTCTTTCAAATCTGAAGTACTATGGTTTTACAAGAAAAAGAATCCTTTTCAGTTTTAAAAATTTCTCAATAAAGCAAAAAGTATTTTCCATTCTCTAAAGTAATCCAGAACCTGGACTGTATTGTTCACTAATGTACTTTCCATCTGGGGTATGCTGGTGCACTAATTAAATGTGAAATTTAGGCATGCAGAAGACCATTCTCTATCTACGTTAAAACACTATCATCAATCACTGAAAAATCAGTTCAAAATTTGAAAACAATTACAAACTGATCCACTGGCTACTCAAATCCTGGGATTCTATTTTGACTGAAATTATCTGAGGTTTATTCAGATAACAGAGTAATTGCACAAACTCAAATGCACAGTTCTCCATCGATAAAGTCTTCCACAAGAACATGCAGGAACCCACACTGAGTGTGTCTCATGGGCAAACACCATGAAAGGAGTAATGCTGGGAGAAATACTAGGTGAACACAGAGGTACAGGTAACATGAAGAAAACAAATGTGCAGATTTACTTGTTCCAGTCAACAACAGTAGCTAAAGTTTATTGATTTCAGTTTCAGCAGCTAATAATCCATGAAAACATTCTTATAGATACAGACAATACTATCCCATATTCAAATTTCTATCAAAGTAATAAAATAGGCTAGGATTTTCTCACAGTCATTGCAATTTACTTATCAATTAGTACAATAAAACCTATTTTAAAATGCAAATATTATAAAGTGCAAATAGTTTTTGTATCCCATTGTGATGTAGCAGTTCGATTATATGGAAATATCTAAGTAAAGAGACTGAAAAAATATAACGGTTAGCTACAAAAATAGCTGGACACATTCTTAGCCACTGTCTCTCAACTGTTCCCCTTATATCCACTGTAAAACTATTTCCAACACACTAATCACATCTATTTGGAATAAACTAAAATTATATGATTTCAAACTATTTTCATTAAAAAAACAGTCCTTTAACAACTGCTTTTACTCTTCCATCTAATTATATACTCTTAAAGGCCAAATATTCAGGCAGTATACAAAAATAACCATAGCCTTTTATTAAGGATAAGACACCAGATAGGAGTTCATAAGAAAAATAAAGATGTTCTTAGCCTGCCTCTACCAGAAATACTTTTCAATACAGGAAAATACATTTACTTTTAAAATTTTAAATACATATACGTCAAAGTCTTAATAATTTTGTATCAGAGACTTACTACAATCAAGTCTGCTCACAGCATCATTAAGTTGTTGGACTGCATGGCTAGTATTTCCTCCGAGATAACTTCACAGAACAGCCAAGATGTTCAAAAAACTATCTCTCCAAAAAGCTCTCTCCTAACTCAAGACTAAGTAACCTGCACTTATAACCCCACAACCCTGGCAAGGAATCTTATCTAGAACATTTTTCTGACCAACAGTCAGATAGAAAAGATAAAATTGATTAATATTTGATTCTGACGTCTGTCTAAGGACACCGTAAGAACAATACATTATAAGGTTACTCAAATTAGAGGGCTAGCACTACTTTTTTTTTCTTTTACCTATGCACCTGTCGTCATACTTTCTATGCAAAGGCTGTTTATTAAATGTAAGCAAAACCCCTAACTACCTATTCTGTAATGGCCTGAGCTTTTCCATATTCAATGTATGTTTCAACAAAAAAACACCCGAATTGATTGCAAGTACAAAGCAGCAGCTATCTCATCCACAAATAAAAACTACAGAGAAGTTCTGCTCTTCCTAAAACAAGCTTGAAGCCATGATTATATTAAAGACACAGATGTGAGGGGATTTTTCAACTTCCAAACAGACATGCAAACAAAGTATTACAGTTCAGGGGTGCAGGTAAATGAATAAGCAAGAAAACTACGTGACGTCTGTGCAGCGTCCTCTCAAATCCTGCAATCCCTTCTAGAAAGTCTGGGTCTACATCTCCCTCTTCTTTACTCATGTTCTTCTCGCATGGCTTGGTCTCAGAAACTTTCCATGCCTGTAACGGAAACTTGAGCCAACTTCTTAAATGTATGATTTCTTCATCTCCACTCATCATCCACTTCTGTTTCTGAGAAGCTCCTCATCATGACACCTGTATCTCAAGAAGCAAAACAGGAAACATCACAGGGATGAAGCAATGAAAGATGAATAATAATATGCCTCTGTGTCTTTAATAAAATCCCAACTTTCATTCAAGTTCCTTTTAGGAAATCAGAGTTCCTTTCACAAGTGCAAAGCTTACAAACCTAGTTTGGCAAAACACCGCGTGCCAAAAATGGGGTAACCAATGCAATCTCCCAACCTGCACCTCTGATCCTGACATGATGAGCAGGAGAAATCCTGTACCAGCTAGCCTTACATACTGTGGAAAATATGATCGGGTGCCAAGCTTGCAGAACTAGTCTGCAGCAGCCAGCTCAACTAAAAGAAACTGCTGACCCATCTGCTGACTTACCCGCTACTGAAAACAATGCCAGTTATCTTTACCCTGGACTCATTTGTCCAAGTAGAGCTCTAGCCCACAAGTCAGATGAAAAACAAAGATGTAAGTAAGCCTCTCCTCTACTTTTCCCATTGCTCCCTAATCTACACAAGTTCCACAGCACACAGTTTGTGCTTTTGTACACTTATCAGGTACAAGAGAAGACAAAGCTTTCTCTGCATTACAGGAGCTTAACTACAAGGTGACAAAGGCCAAAGGTATTTTCAACCTGTCATAAAACTTGGCGCTGGGGGTGGAGGGTACTCACCTATCTGTTTCTGCCATCCAAAACTTGGGATGAGGCAGGCCCAAAGCCAAGAGCAGCACTGTTTAGAGTCTAACAACAAAACAGCAAAGGGATGACTCATCTGCAAAATGGAGACACAGCCGTCTTGTGTCCAAAGATGCAGCTTAAACCATCTGCCTGCCTTACAGTTTTGCCTGAATTCTGAATGAGGGGGTACAGGAGAATTATTTCTGCAGCCTCCCCAGCCACGAAGCCTTCAGGGCAGATAAGCAGACACCAAAACCATTCTGCAAGCCAGCTCTCAGTGAAACAGAAGCATGATAGCAATTTTATCTCTCCCTTTTAGGGTTAAGGCCACCCTTAAATAAACATTAGTGTCAAAGAATCTTTGTACCAGAAGCAGAGCAGACCCTACATCTTATCAGCTACCACCTAAACTTCTCAGAATTCCACATCCCATCTAAAATCCTTCTTTATTCTAAAAAAACACTTGACAGCAGCATGCTCCATATGCATAAATCAGAAAGACAGCTTAGTCCTTTCCCTAACTCCCCCCAGTGAATCCAGGCTCATTTTTGCTTTTTTACAGCAGATGTGAGGGACAGCTGTAGGGACAGAGTCCCACCAGAGCACAAAGTTTTGGCTTTGCTTCTTGCACATCACAATTGAGAAGATAACTGAGCCTTAGTCAAAGCAAGAAGCCCTCTGAGAGTGCTCTGGGCATTGCAAAAAAAACAGCTTTTAAGTAACTGGACAGAAATGTATTTGCTGTGCTGGGACTACATGTCAATGACTACATTCCCCCATTTCTGAACTCTTGATGAAGTTCTTACCCTCAAAAGTGCTTAGAAGGCAAACCATCCTGAGAGCTCATGCCCTGAGTGATCATGCCTGCTACTGCGACGTGCTACTGCCTACTCAGGAAAGGTAACTATCACAGATTTCAAGCGCTTAAAAGTTTTCAAAAGCACTAAAGCTGAGGAAGCCACAAACATCCAGCTGTCAGGACATTCAGAATTATTTTATAATATATATACTATCCAATTATTTTAGACCACAGTGATTATTAATCTTTTATCGTGATGATCACTATATACAAGAGACAGAAACCATAACTTTACTGTTCCATAGGCATTATAACTCCACATTTTCCCTGAGCAGCAGAAAGTAACTGAGGACAAATTCAATCTATTATTGACAGCATCACTTGTTAATCAGATGTCTACAGTCAGCATACACACCATACAGACTACAAAACATCCAGGCTGCTCTCACTGCTCATGCAGAAAGAGAACTGCAGGAAAAGGCTAATAATTGTCAAAAAGATCTGATGCTGGCTGCCACCTGAAACAACCAAGGAATTTTCAGTTTTCTTTTGAAGAGACAATTTACTGGCAGGCTGGTACTTCTAACTTTGATCTTTCTTCCTTCCAACACCAGCAGAAGCTCAGTAACAGAAGTTCTGAAGCTTTGTAGCTCAGTAACAAAACACAGAAACCTCCCAGAATGTTAACTCAATTACAGTATTTTGGCAAGGAAGCCTTCCCCTTATACCTTGGGGAAAATCTTAAAAGATTAAACAGTGCATGTTTTAAAAGTACACACGCCTCAATTTTTGGTGTAACTCTTCATGCACCTAATTGCTTTGAGAGAAAAAATATTCTACAGTAATTTGCTTGCAAGACTGAAAGTGTTCCTTGTTTCCCAAGGAAACAATGGTTAGGCAACCACACTGATCATCCCATGCACAGAAATGTAAACTGCAAGGTCAGTTTCAACCAAATCTCATGCAAAAGCACAGAGATTACAGAGGTGCTCAATTCCTACAGCAGACTTGCAAAGTAAGCAACCAAGGCAGCCCCCTGAGCAACACTTCTGGTTCTCAAACAGAAGGGAGACAGCATGTTTTGATTAAATATACCCAAGAACTAACTACAAGGCAGTGAGAAGCTGCTCAGGCACTGTGCTGTTGGGAAAATCAGGGAAGCTAACAGCACTGCTGTGTAATGGAAAGAGAGAAAGAAGGAAAGATGTGTAAGGAATTGCAGTGCCACCAAAATCAAGAAAGCTGCAGGAAAGTCTTATCTTCACTAGTTCAGCTGCTCACAAAGCTACCTTTGAATCTGTGGAGCAACACAGCAATGCCTTATGAGCCCATCACATCTTCCATCTCTATGTGGGCTGATACTGACATGTCAGCAGGCAATCCTCAGGATTCATTAAAGGCACTTGGACAACAGCTGTCCTTTTTCACCAATGGGAATCTGGAAAAGCAGACATACACTGCAGCACAGGTTGCCCCAGAAAAACCTAAAAGAAAGAAACAATATGCTTCTCAAACCCTTTCAACAAGATCCTACCCAGGCAGAGTAAGCTAAGCACTGGCACGACAGGTCAGACTGCTGGTGCATTTGTTTGAGAATCCTGCCTCCTGTGATCAGGACCAGACGCCTTCAGAAGGTGGAACAGCTCAGGTAGTGAACAATGAGGTAATTCCCCCAAAAGGGAAATTCCTTCCTGACCTCATCAATTAGCATGAAGGTTTATGTGCTTAATTTATTTTTAATCCTATTTACAGCAACTCTGGACATTGTCATTATATATTTAAATGCCCAAGTCTGCTTGGAATCTGACTAAACTTTTGCCCTTGCTAATATTGTGTGGTGTATTTATGCCTTATGTCATTTAAATATCCCTTTGTTCCTGCATTATGGGAACTATCATAGCCATTAACCACCTCTGTTCCCCTTCCAAGAGCTTCACCACGAACTTCCACACCACACTATGCCCTGCGACAGGACAGGAGCACAATCTGAGGATCTTTAAGGCAACAACCGAGCAACTTCTATCGGATACCTAGCAACATTTCTTTAAGCTACATTTCTGGGATCTGCAGGAAATTTGTCACTTCCACCAAGATTTCAGCAGGCCCTACCCTCTTCTAGATCTTGCAAGCTCACTTTTATGATGTTTTCCACTCCAGGGCTGGCACCCTTATAAAGCAAGATGTTTTACTCTATGTTGTGCACTTTGAACCCCCACCTTCAAGATTCTGATAAATTTACTTAGAACAGACTATGAGCATACTATGCTCAGCTTTTTAAGTGTTGTACAGGAACCTCTGTGAATGAAGAACTGCCCTCTCATCTCCATGCTTGAATGAAGAAAAACAGGGCCCAACCATGCAACACCAATCCCATCTTGCTCTAGGCTGATGTTCTTGTGGGCTGCAGGTTCACCTGTGCAATAACTTTAGCCTATGTTGCTATTTTTGTTCCTTATGGATGAGCTCATAGCACATTCATCATGATTATTATGCCAAGTACTTATTAAAGCTCCAGTGCTCTCTGCTGTTTCTGCTCATACAATGTGTGCAACATGCATCAAGGTATAAAGCCACACCTTCATTCAACAAAAGTTTGGTGGGAAAAAAAGTATATCTATGCTAGGAGCAGACAAGAAGGGAGACTCCTAAAACACACTTGACATTCTGGATCCTCTTGTCTCCCCAAAACACAGTCCTGCTTTCAATCATTACGTGGGCTGCATTTTCTTCTCCAAGCCTTTGAAGCTGAAACTTTGGACTCCACACCACAGGTTCTCAGTCCGAAAATCTTCAGGAAATAAAGAGACAAAGGCTGGTATCTCATGGGAAGATGGCCTCCCAAGGAGATGACAGAGTTTTTACAGCATCTGTGAGAAATACCACATAGTCATCACTGTTTCACCACAAATGCTGTGATTACGGGCTTGGAACTGGAGAGTTATGGTAAGAGAATACTTCTTTGCCTCAACCAAAATGAAAATTACACCATTTCATCTCTCTTTGGAACAATCTTCAGACAAGCAAGAGGGTGAGCGAAAAAGCTTGTTCCAGCTTATGGTCCAGAAACAAATGGAGTTCTTTAATGATCAAAATAGCACTAACAGAACTAGTAACAGGCATCACTTTGTCAACAGTTACCTCATTACATAATCCAAACACATGCAACATTTTTCTCTATTTGAGTATCAGAGACTGATTGGTCAATAAAGTGGCAGGTCTCCTACTGGCAGTAAAATTGTCCTTTCTTGTATTTCTCAAGGACCTCTCCATGCTGTTTAATAGTTACAGTGGCCTTAGAAACTGTTTCAGACCAAGGATCTTGACACTTTGTTTCCAAAAGGCCATAAACACTCTCCTGTTCTTCCGCCTCACATGTGTAAAGAGCTGGCTATAATGTTCTTAGGCAATGCTCAAAGAGTGGTCCAAGCCACAAGGTTCAGAGCACTGCCACACCAGCACCACCAGGACCTCTGATCAGCCAGCAAGTGGTTTGCCTTTGGCATTCCAGAATGTGCTGAGGTTGAAAGGGAAGACAATAATGATACAGAACAACTCTCCCATCAGCAGTGGCAAGAGTAATCTCAGAGGCACAGAGTGCAATGCTTTCACCACTTCAGAGTCATTACTGACGATGAAGTCGAAAAGAAGAGGTATTTTCTGTTTGTCACACACAGAAACAGACTTTGGGTAGGGAGACTTTTTTAACGGGCTCAACTAAGGTATTTTTGGTTGCTAGAAGGCTCGATCTGTTGTGACAAAATTAGCTTTAAATAAAAGTATAATACAAGCAGTACATACTTTGCCTAAAAAAACCCGCTGGCCACTTACAGATCATGTGAACTCAGTTATTTAGCTGAGCTAAAAACATCAATTATTCCGAGCCTTATCTGACTGTAGATTTGGATCTGTTTAACAACAGCACTGCCACATAACAAAACACATGACAACCCACAGGTCTTTACGAAAGCAAGGAAAAGTTCCTGCAAACAATGGTTGCTGCCATTTAACAATACAGTCACGGAGAAAAGAGGCAAGAGTGAAAAACCTGCACCTCCGCCTCTATCCTTCCGACCTTTCTCTGAAAAGAAAAAGCAACTCTTCCTCTTCTGTCAGTCCACCCTTCCTTCCACATTACAGCAAAAAGAAATGGGTTGCCTTCAACTATCACTCCCTGATGTCCACCAACCAAAGCTATGGAAGATGATAATCTTACTTTTTTCCCCCCTGCAAGATTTTCACCACCCAGCAACAGTTCTGCTCTCTTCTTTCAACCAGTGTCACAGAACCTGGCTCTATACTGCTTATCACCATGATCCAAGCAACAACAAAATAGTCATTCAAACATATCTAGTGCTCAGTGCTGGGTAAAGTTCACAGCAGCTGTTCGAGTCCCAGAAAGACATCTGAGAGAAGCGCCATAAATAACGACATCACATGGAGTCTCCCATTGCACAACCCACATACATCTTTCCTGCTCAGGAATTTACGCCTCGCACCCTACCTTGTCAGTCAAGAGCATATTACAAACCATGTTTCCAAGATGATCCACAGGATATTTTAGAAAGTAATACAGCCCTCCTTTGGCTGAGTCTTTTCAAAATACCTGTTCTACTCCATTATGAAAATGACAAATGTTGCTATTATCTTAACAAAACCATGGTCTTTCTCAGGAGCAAGCTGTAGATCCACATGTGCATTTTATACATCATGGATGTCCAAAACCAGTTCCAGCAAGTCTGACAGCCTGGAAGAAACTGAATGGGACTACTCCTTCACAGACTCAGGATCTATGTTCTTCATCAGATATGCAAACAGAAAGTATTTTTTCGGACTACAGTTTCAGTAAATCCCAAATTTGAACAGCCCCTTTGCAAGATTGATTTTACTTCTAGATTAAAATTAAACCAAATTATCTTAAAATACTCATTCCTAGGCATCTGCAAGGAGAGAAACACTTTCCAAAGCAGTGCCTAGATATAATCGAGAAAGAAGATATACAGCTATTTTATAAAAATTAAATTTTTTTTCCTGGAGTTTTGCCATAGATTGCCTTTGAGGGCTTGGTTCAGAAATTTCAAAGTTAGTTTATTGTTTTTCATATTGAGGACTAATTCCTTTTAGCAATTCTGTTAATCTTGGAGTTTGAAGTTATTTTTATTAAAGTAACGCCCAGAGTTTAGATATTCCATAAAAAGATCAGGAATTATTTTTATTAAAGTAACACCCAAAGCTTAGACATTCCTTGCAAAAATAAGGCAAAGCACCTTCATTCTTAAAAAGGTTCTTAGTCTTTTCAATGCAAACACAGATTTCACAGAGACATCTGAGCACTCCAAAGTTTTATCAGCCATTTTTCATCAGAGACTTGGGGGAAATGTAATTAAGGCAGGATTTTTCTGCCTAAAAAAATCATGAGCCTTTTGCTCCTAGCAGTACGTGTGGTATTTTTTCCCCCCTCTCTTCTTGCCTTCTGTTACAGAAAAAGTAGCACTGATTTCCACTCCCTGATGTCAGATTTCTCATGAGACATTTGTGCTGGCTCGGGGCTCTCCTGCCAGCAGTCAGTACCTCTGGTCATCCTCCGTATCTCTCCCTCAGCCAGCAGGGAGTCCCCTCGACCCAGGCAATGCCAATTTCTGGTGGAGCTTGTTAGTCTACAAAAAAACTGGATCATAGCCCTTAACTCTTATGCCGCAACAGATGCAGGGCTGCAAAGTGAAGGATCTTACCTCCATTCTCGAGGGCCTGAGGCACTGAAACCTTCTGCTCTTCAGCAGCAGCTCTGTCTCAAGGACAAGATCCAGTGCTGCCTTTTGTTTGAGTGACTACATTAATAAACAACACCCAGGTTCCTTACCATGACTAAAACACAGTTTAAGTGCTTGGACGTGAAAGGGAACGCCTTTTGATCACTACTTCTGATCTGGAGCATAAGCAACCATGACTGAAGACTTCACTTTGTCAGCAAGCCTCCTCCAACTGCTCTTGCTCTTTAGGCATAACAGGCCAAAGACATCACAGATTTAATGACACGTTTTCTAACTATGTACTGCTTCCCTGTTGAAGAAGGCACGCAATGACAATTTTCAATTTCTTTAATGCAGAAATTAGGGCTGGGGCAAAATCTTTTCAATTCCTCCGAAAGAGATGTTAAGTCTCAACATCCCCACCTTTCTCCCTGCAGCGTGTATAATTTCAGCTTGCTCAATAGCAGCGGCACTCCTGAGTTCAGGAGGACTTTAAAAGGAGCGATTAAGCTCACGGAAGTAAGCTAACATGAATAAACTGCCCAGGCAACAGGAAAACATTCCAGAGCCCTGTGCTGTCACCAGGCTTTTGGCCAATGCTGCTTAATCATATATGCAAAACATAAATTACGAAAAGATTCATCGCTGGTTAGAATATTCTCAATAATTTTGCATTGCACTGAAGAAGCTTTCCTGCAACTTGTCCTCAGACAAAAGCACTGGGATGTTCTGCCCATTTTCAGAGCCTCTACCGCCATCAGCAGTACCTAGTGGTACAGCAAAGGCTTCCTCTGTGGGTCTTCTCAATGGATCAGGTAGTCTTGGAAGGGAAGTTTGAGAGCAAGACTCAGCATCGCTCTGCTGAAATTCCTAAATCCTATGGCTGGCTATAAGGCATCAGGGCAGCTGCTGCAGGATATGTTCTCATCTGGGCTCAGCCTGCACATACCAGTTCATACTATCCGGGTATGTAACACTGGACTGAAACTCGAAATGCTCGTGGCACAGGGGAGGATATTTTCACTACAAGGCACTCAGAGTTTACGACGTCTCCTTTAAACACAGACATACTCATAGCTTAAATATTTAAGAGCCTCTTGAGCCTTGTCACAGAATTTATACAGCTCTATCCAAAAACCTTTGATCTTCTGTGCAGTGCTGAGTAAAAAACCTAGTCAGCCACATTTTGGGTTATGAAGAGAGAGATGACTTTTCCACCACTTAACAGGAGATTATAGTTTTCACATAAGATTATAGAGTCATGGTTGTAATGCCAACTGAAGACTGCATTTACAAAGATCTGACGTCCAGCAGCTCGCCATGGGAGACAACAGTGGTCAGATTCTCAAAAATCTTTGGAGCTATAATTGAGAGCCACTTGTTAATGATTTTCTTCGGTATCTTACAGATGTAAAGTTTTAACTGCTTAGAAAGCCTTCCCTCACATGCTTCTTGTCATCAGACAGCATTAGATCTACAAATCATAATAGCTTTTTAAACAGTATTGGGTAATCTTGAAACAGTTCCCCCTGTACAGCATTCTCAAAAATAAACGTAACTGAGGATAACTCTGGCCCAATTTTTGTTAGGTCATAAACTTTCCCCATCCAAGACATCCAAAATCCAGCATGAACAAAGTTCATCCCTATACATGCCTATAAGCCTGACTACTAAAAATGGATGAAAAAAAAAATCTATTGTCCCTCTACTCTATCTGCCTTTGCTTTTACAATCATTAATTATCAGGTAAAAATCAGTGCAGACTTCTGAGGTAAAATTTCAAAAGCTGACTGCACCTTCTGTCCCAACATATACTGTACGTCTGAAAACATAAACCCCTCTGCAGAACAGGGTATGGCTTCACTGGGACAGAACTTCCATGGCTGCACTTGCCGGGAAAACAAACCACGACCTGCCTGCCCTTCAGTCATGGCTCAAGCAGCATCCTTCGAACACCCCAGCACATGCAAAGGGCACGGGCCCTGGAGAACTTTTTGCTTGTGTTACTTCTCCTTACAAGCTTTTTGTTCTGTACAGGTAAGTTTGAGATGCTCGTGACACTGCCCCAGGTCCATGAATACAAACGAAGCCGCACGCTACTCCAGATTTCTAAGCCTTTCACGGGGCTTTCAGCTGAGCTGAGAGGCAAACCGAGACATTATTATAATCTGCAGCCCGAAAGCCGGCTGTGCGGGTTAAGCGGCAGGGCGCGGGTTCATTGTGCCGCGCTGCTCCATAGAAGCGAGCGGAGCCGCACCGGGCGGCTGCAGCGGGCAGCGGCGCCGGCCGAGATGCGCCATAGGAAAGGCTCC